TCTTTTTAAAAGATTGCCTACCCATCGACAACGTGCTATTTAATGCAGTGTCGTTACGTTTTTTTTTCCTTGACGAATATGTAGTTATCACATAATAATCGATACATATATATGCTGAATTCATTGAAGCATATCGGGCATGGCCGATCGAAGAAAAAGAAAGCTATTATTGATCATATTATTCTTTTATCTCTATCGTTTCAAAAAGTTTTTATTAAGTTCATATTTTTATACATAATTTAATCTTGGTTTTTTCAAAAAAATAGAAGTCTTTCGTAAATATTTAATTAAACTTGATGATTTGGATGTTATATTATTATCTTCTAATTAAAGTTTAGACAAAATATGTATTCATATTTTTTTGTTATCATTCTAATCATATTTCTTTTCAAATTCAAAAAGAGCTTATAAAGATGATGGAAAAACTTCAAAAGAACCAATATTAGAAAACATAATTATTTTTTAAATAAATACTTCTATCGAAAGAAAAAATTTATCTCAAAATTGATTATATTTGAAAACTAGAAAATGTTTGAGAGAGCTTAAAAAAGTTTATTGTCAATAATATTGACAGAAATTATCTGTCTACATTAGTCATTGGGAGTTATTGGTTTTGATTTGCTCGTTGACATGATATGATTTTATATTTCTGTATGTGTGAAAGTATTTGAATACAGTTAAATTGAGGCAATAAATTTTGTTTTCATATACACAAATGGTATTCTTAGAGTACAATTTGAATAATGAAGTCAGATTTTTAATAGCAATTATAATCTATATTAACTAGCGAGTTTTGATGTTATAGTTCTTTATTGACTTTGAATTTTTTCTAAGTAATTATTTGATGTCTCTTTCGATTCATTATTTAAAATCAGATCAGTAATTGATAAGAGACAATCGTGGAAATATCGAATCATTGGAAAAATCTCCAACAAGATGTATTAGGTAATTAAAAACATATTTATTAATATTTAAGTGTATATTAGCCATTCTATGTAAATCATAACCTACTTTCATAGAAAGCTGCTGCATCTCCATCTTAGATAAACGTAAAAATTTATTCCATCGTGTAGAGCATATTGATCTAAGTATAGAACCTGAATCTTTCGAATAGTTTTTACAGAAATATAATCATTTCAATAGATTTTCTTTGACGAAATGGATGAGATGTCACTCAAATGTTCTTTTTTTCTGAATACTATCAAACAAAAAATTGCTTAATGGTGCAAGCAAAATTTTAGAATATCTGATTGAGCAGAGTCTATCGCAGCTTATTGTGAACTGACTCATAAAGTACACTATAGTCGATCTAAACGGACTTTCCTAATAAAATCTGGAATTCAAATATTGTTACGATTCGAGTTGTATGTATATTAACTATAAGAATACTGTTTACAGCGATTATCGATAAAAATAATAATAAAGATAAGCTCAAGTCATCAAAGAAAATTTCTTGTCTAGTAGGCGACTAATACGAAAATCTATTGGACAACAAACAGCTACTTTCCGAAATCGAAAGTCTCATTAGTTTTATGATTTTGTAAATATAAGATTTTGTCCTTTGTCTTTTAAAAACTTGAATACGAACCATGATATTTTCATATTTCTAATAATTCATTTTTATCATCACCAACAATTATTATACAAGTATCCGTAACAATAATTTTAAGTAAGACATTACTCAGCATACGATTACAGATTTTTCTTTAACTTAAAAATTAGATTTTCTTCTAGCGAAAAGCACAATAGATGCAAGTTAGTTGTACTTGTTATTCTTTTGATCAAATAATAGTGTATTCATCTACGATCGTAAGTATCCTTCTTTGATATTGATTATATTAACTCGAAATCATTTTGATTCTAGAAGTAAGAGTATAAGTAAATCGAAGAAAATAAGTGCTCTTTGACAATTTAACAAACGAAAAGAATATTTTTTATCATTTTATGTTAATTTTCTTACTTACTAAGTTTATAGCATTAACAAAAAATTTTTTTTGTTTATATTATATATAATGATTATCCATTTTTCTTCATTCTATAATGACGACAAGTACTGCAGTAGTTTGTATCTAAAAGTTTGATTTTGAACGAAAAATTTTATTGTTTTTGTTTTGGTATTTCTTATCGATCTTTAGTTTTGCAAATGATCATTAGCTGCAGGAAATGACACGATTAATTACTGCTTGGGAAAGTTAGACGAATGAAAAAATCATACATAGAGAAAGTATCATAGTTCAAACAAAAAATTGTATTCATTAAGCATAAATTTTATGCCAATATCTTATACATAGATAGTCATTGAAACGATAATTCATATCAGACTATTATTGAGTCGTGCGCATAATGTATCTAATTCAGTAGAACAACTTTCTTATCAGTGTTAATATCCTTGATATTTTTGTTTCATGTATTTTAAGACATTGGTTATATCGTTTATTGTCTTGTTAAAAGCGAATTTGGTTGGTGTATCCTCTATCATAGATCTTACCTTATTTAAATAATTAGATTGTTGAACTAAAATAAGATTATTGTATAATATCTATCATTGGATTTATACATCTACTTAATCATTAAATCCATTTTCAAGAGAACTCAATGTGATTGCTGTCAATGCATTTGCTAATCTTTAATAAACTATTTTTTATTATTTTTATTTTTGTGTATAACGTGTAACCATGTTTTTCTTTTTTTGTATTTTGTAGTTCAAAATTTCATTATTTACTTTTAGGTAATTCATATGAGCAAATTAGTAAACATAAATGGCTATCGAAGAAAATTATTTGTTAAATACTTGTTTGACTATGTGTGTAAAATATCCTAAGTTTTTTTGATATTCTATATAAATATTATAAGTTATCATGATTTTATCTAAAGAAAAATCAAGGAAAGCACCACCCAATGATTTTCTACTGAGGATGTGAAGTTTCAGTGTGCTGACCACCGATATCACCCACTCTATGTAGTTAGGACACTCTGAAACACTGACATCCGTGTTCATTGAATCACTGGAATACACCGTTATTAAAAAGGCATCTTTTGATGGAGTTGATATCACAGACTTGCATTGAACGCAAATGTCAGGTGTAATCAGTGCACCATTTGACCTTTTGCCGATGGCTCACTGCTCATTATTTCAGTATTTACAGCAACGCTGCACATATTTATTCTTTACTAACAACAACTTGAGACTAGGTGCTATCAGCTAGAGACCGTGATCTATTGTTGCTAAACATGAAACTTACTAACAATAAAGTCCGATCATACTAATACAAAAATTTTTTCCAGATATTTAATTATCTTCAAAAACTAAATTAACTTAACAATTGATTTATTTTTTGAATAGTATAACAAAAAAATTAAAATATTCTAATCTAGATATTAAAAAAAGTTGAAAAAACTTGCATTTTCCATTGTTTAAAAAATTCGGAAATATGTATAGTAGATGCAATTTTTGACGCTGCATCGAATGTTCATATTTTCAAATTTCGTAAGTAATGTAAAAACAATGAGAAGAATTGAATTTATTGAACAACCATGTGGTTTTCTTCCATATCAAAAAGACGGCTTGAAAATTTTCAATAGAAACATTTTTGTAGAGCTTAACGAGCTCTATCGAACCATGTAAAATTATGAAAGAAAAAAAAAGATTTGATTCCATTTTTGAATACTATATCTAATTGCAATTAGGAGAAAAATTCAGAATTACAACAATATCATTTTACTGTACTATTTTTTATTCTAGGCAAGAAGAAAATCTCAGCAGTGTTTCTGTAATGAGAAGAAAAGAAAACCTTTTGTGTGTTTCTTATCAGTTTCTGATTCACATGTAATATTCTTATTAGAAAGCATTACTAGTGATTTAATAATAATAAAGTATGTCTCTTTGAATCAATACAATATCCTATCTTGTACGATATCATCTAACTTTCACTATAAAAACAATTCAAGGTTTATATACAATAAACAAAGAAAACCATATTAAGTATTGATTATTGTATTTGAAATATACACGTTTTTTGTCTTGAATAAATTTATTTCTTCTAAATAGAAATATTGATAGCGAAAAATCAAAAATAAGATCTACGAATAATTTTCTAGCAATTTTTTAAATCAATTATGTTGTTTTTTTTTGTTTCATTTGTCCTTATTGATCTACTGTGTGTTTTAATATTATATCTTTTGCTTTTTTTTGACATTTTTGACAATAATTAATAGATGTATTGTTATAATTATCTAATTTGATGATTATATCTATACTTTGCATTATTTTAAGTATAGATGTATATAAAATCACAATATTGATTTTAGTTTTTGTTCTTTTCTTGACTTAATTCGTATATCTTTCCGAGATTCAATTATAGGAAAAGCTCTAAGTATGCGTGCATTTGTGAACTAATCAAATTAAATAGAATCAAGAAGAGATCTAGAACAAGAATAGAAAAGTTAACATGCCAAAAGTTCTTTCTCTTCCTCCCTCTCTCTTTTTGTCTCTCTGTAGTATGTTCATGAATCGTTAATCATATCGATCTATCTATCAACAATAACAAGTGAGAAAAACGAAATGATGAGTACGAGAAAACAATCATTATTCTCCTTGAATAGACAATAGTTGATGTATGTAAATAAATAGAAATAAATATTTATCGTATATTTAAAATATCACAATTAACTGTATGAATGAACAATAGATAACGAATAATCAACAAGAATAATGGAAAGACAAAGAAAAAAACAGTCACTAGAGTTCCGACATTCTATTTCAGTCTACATTTCTATTATGTATGTGAGGTCTTCTCATATGAACAAAATTGCAATTGACGTTTTCTCTTCTTCTACTACTACTCCCTCGACTCCTTTTTCTTTTCTTTTCTTTTTTTTTGTATGAGTCGATTTCCTGCTATGCACTCAAGACAACATATATGGAAAAGATAGAATGAATTGAGTTTCGGAAGAAGATAGAAGAGAGCAAGATGCTTTCCGAACACATTTAATTGTAAAAAATGATGACTGATATTAAAAGTCGGATGTTCTTCTACTTTATCGTATTTATCATTATCTCTCTAATAATTGGTCAACAACAACAACAATATCAATCATCTGTGACTATTGGTAATATATATTAAGTTAATCTGTTTAAAAAGAATTATCTTCATTTCCAAGATAATTGTTCCCGTTTTAAACTAATTAATTCTGACGAGTAATTAAACTATTCATAAGAAAATATAAATCAAATATAATAAAAACAATCTATTGTTGCCACATTTTAGTATTTAAAAGTCGAAGTTTTACTATTTTTTTGTTATACAAAATAGATGACGAAAACTTTCCTCACTATTAAAAATGAATTACGTATTTAGACTCTGATGCTTTTTCTTGTATTATTTATTTTGACTGCTATCAATAATATATGTGGTATATCTTAAATTTTTAAATATTTGAAACAGACTATCAGAAAAAATTAATTACACTACATCAACTGTAAAATATTTAAGATTCCTTCAAGCATATCACCTGCATAAAAACCAATCTAAATTAGACGAAAAACATGCTCTTTTTTAAATAAAAATTCATGTTGCTTAGAATATTAGCTTATTTCTAAACTTAAGGCCTTCCCGCCTCAATAATCGATATTGTGCCAGATACAATCAAATCGCCTGAAGTTTTGAAGCTATATCTGGACTATAGTGAGGGCTATAATAATATTTTCAGCACTAAATCATAACGCTTGACAGTGATATTCATCAAACAAAGATCAAAAATAGCTCATTTGGCAAATCCAAGTTTTTTTGTTCAAACTCATTCTAGATATTTAAATGTTTGGTTTAAAAGCGCATACGAAGATGCTGTGCAATACAGAGCTTTTTTTTTTAAATTATTACTTTGTAAGCGGAGAAAAAAAAGTATGGCAAGCTCAATGACTCAAAAAACTCTAAGAATGAATGTCTATTTATATAAGTATTTTTATATAAAAAAAGAAACCTAATTAAGAATAAAAGGATCCTATAGTGCACTGTACCTTGATATACTTTCTTTTTTGTATAAAAGATTAAGCCTTGAACTATCTTCTCATATATTTATCTGAATTTTAATTTTTTGACGGCATTTGATTTTTTTTCTTGAGAAGGGGAACACCTTAAATATGAAATTTTGAAATCTTTTACTTTTAGTTGTCTTGCTTGATTATCACGACCCATTACTAAAATATCATCTTGAAACATTAATTGCTGACTATGAACAAGAATGGATTATATCATCTATTTATTTACAAACCAATACTAAATTAAACATTGAAACAATTACATATCAATCTCGATATCAATTAAAACTATTAGAAAAATGTAAATTATATATATATATATAGAAATTTTTGTTTTTCTTTCAATTATTTTTTTTTCATACAATTTCAGTATGTCAACATTTAAATTCAACAAATTATTTATTTGCTATAACACATTTTCGTTATCAATCACCGATATATGTTCATGCAATTCTTTCACAAATGCATATTCCACATATGGCTGTATCAATGACAACAAGCAATGCAACAAATAGTTATACATTACATATGCAAACAAGTTCTGAACATTTGAGCATGGCTATACGTGATATAATTGATCATTTTGATTGGGGTTACGATCATAATAAATTACTTTTTGTTTATGAAAAACATAAAAGTAAATAATTGTTGTTTTCTATTCTACAATGCCAAGCATTTGACTTAAATCTAAATACTGATTTGAATAACCAATGAAGTTTTGTATCAAATACATTTGTTACCGAACATTTATATAGATGGATTCTGAAAGGAAGATTTCTCAGAAAAAAAAACAAGCACAATAGTTTTCAAGTTTCAGCAGAGCTTCGTGAAAATTAGTTTTTAAGAGTACTATCTTAAAGAGCACAAACTCATGAATAAAATGAGAGATAATATTGCAAAAGATTCATTATATAAAAAGCATTTTTTTTTTTGTTTCTTGTGAAGTTTATAACTTTTTAAAGGAAGGTTGTAGAAAATGTGACAACCACTCCTTTTTATTTAGAGCATTGTGCTCTTTATGATGATACTCTTAAGAATAATATTCACTATCTTCTGTGACCTGAAAACTATCATGTCTGGTTTTTTGAGAAATTTTCCTCGTACAATGCATATGTGCAACTCCAGTATAGAATGTATTTTTTTCAAAGGTCTTGGTCTTTTATCTGATATTTTACGTGTAAAAAATGATCGTCAACCAGCAATCATATTAAAAGCAATAACAATGGAATCAAAAGACAAAATGAATGCTCGTTCAATACTTGCTGAATTAAGAGATAAAGCTGATCCAAGTAAAAAAATTATTATATCTTTAAGTCAAAAGTTACTTGATGAATTTTTAATGGATGTAAGGCAAAAACAATATCTGACACTTGTACAAATTTCATTTGCTATTTTCTTTCGTTTCAAGGCACAAAATTTAGGTATTGTTAGTATTTATTATCATTTATTAATTATTGGAGTTGTAAGTATACTTCTTGTTTTTATTTTGTTTCTCTCTTAAAGACTATTTTCAAATAGGATGCAAGACAATTGAATTGGGCACATTTTTATGAAAGTGGAGTTCGATTATCTAGTATACAATTAGTGCCAAATAAATCAACACACAATTACCAAGTTTGTTTGCATTATTAAATTGAAATTTTTTTTTTTTAATTTGTTTTTTTTTTTATAGATTGAACAAGCTTTGATTAAAGATGCATTAGATGCAATAAAATATATTTTAAGAAAATTATTATTTGATAATGAATATGAAAAAGAACGATTAATTCCACAACAAGAATGTTCCTGGAAAAAATTGTTTACAGCAAATAGTTATACAACATTTACACAACATATTGGTGAAACACTACTAGAAATAAGTAAAACGGTAATTATTCGAAGTATCATTCAGTATTTTCTTTCCGTTTATAAATGAAATAATTTGTTTAGCGGAATTCTAGTTGACATAGAATATTCTCTTATCAATTGATAACTCTTTAAAATTTAAATTTTGATCCGTATAATATCTATCAAACATGAAAATTAACTTCTTTGAGTAATTAAGTTCTTCAGTAACAATTACTTTTGTTTTTTATCATTATATTTATATATGATAGTTAAAAGTTATATCTACGTCCGAATTAACGAAAAATGAGAGTAGCTAGTGATGTAAATTGTTCAATAATCGAAAGAAGGAATTTTGAGACATATTTTTCTCGAAGAAATCATATTAAAAGCAATTATCTTCAGAAAACATTCAGAAAAGTGTAAGAAAAGAGTTTATTCAATGAAAGATTAAATTTTGACATAGGATTTACGAGGGAAAGTCCACAGTTGGAAAATTGCTTTTGAGTTCGAGCTTTGTACAAGACAGACTCTAATGAGATGTAAAGGTTCGAAAAACGATATTTTGACTTGAAGTTTTCAGAACATTCTAGTTACGAATAGGCCTATCTATAGACTGACGTTTCAATAAAATGATTATAACTTTGTAGAAAAATTCAGAAGATCCTTATCCTTTTGAACTCCGAATATGTCGTACATTACTATTTAAAATTGAAAGCTGGAGATCCATAAATACTGAAATTTCAAAGAAAGAAAAAAACATTAGTTTTATAATTTAGATCAAATTTCTTGGTGCAACCGGCATAGTTGATTTTGATCAAGCAGGTTTACGTCGATCAATAAAACTTAAAGTACTTGATTTAAGTGAACATGGTATGGTTGAAATAGGTACATGGACAAATATGAATCGATTAAATATAAATCAGCTTGGTTTTCAACAAATGTCAGCTATTCGTAAACATTTACAAGTTGTTACACGAGAAGTAATTCATGCAATGATTTTTCTTTTAATAAATTTTTTTATTTTTTCTTTATTTCAAGGAAAAACCTTATGTTGTACGAAAAGTACATATTAATGGTTCAATTTATTTCGAAGGATATTGTATGTAACAAAAATAACTTTGAAATTTTTAATATTTTTTTCTTTAGGTATTGATATGCTTGATGAAATAGCTCGACGACTTCAGTTTAATTATTCAATACGTATCGCAGCAGATGCTGCTTATGGTAAAGAAGATGAAACTGGACGATGGTCAGGAATTATTGGTGAACTTACTCGTCGGGTAAAATTTTATTTTATTTTATTTTTTATTATCAAAATATTTCTTTGCGATATTAAATCTAGACAGCAGATTTAGGTATTGGAGCATTAACAATAACATATCCACGAGAACAAGTTATCGATTTTACAAAACCATTTATGACTTTTGGTAATAGAATATTATAAAATAATTCTTTAGTGATATTTGTTTTTGTTTTTGTTTTTTGTTGAATAAAATAGGTATAACAATTTTAATTCGTAAACCATTGAGACCTCCACGTAATTTATTTGCTTTTTTGGCACCACTTACTCGTGAAGTATGGTTTTTTATGGCTATTGCTTATATTGGTTAGTAGATTTGCTTGAATGTATATAATATAATAACATGATTTTATTTAGGTGTTAGTCTATTTCTTTTTTCTATGGCACGCTTTTCACCATATGAATGGCAAAGTCCTTATTCATGTAAACGTCATACTGAATATCTTATTAATCGATTTACTATTGTAAATTGTTTTTGGTTTACTATTGGTTCATTAATGAAACAAAGTATGTTAAAACGAAAAATGATTTATGTTCATATTTATATAATAAAATATTTAAATAGCTATTGATTATGGTCCACGTTCATTATCAACACGTGTACTTATTGGTGCTTGGTGGTTTTTTTCATTAATTATGATTGCTTCATATACAGCTAATCTTGCTGCTTTTCTTACAACTAAACGTCTTAAATCACCGATTGATGATATTGAAGCATTAGCTAAACAAACTGAGTAAATATTTCAATACATGACATAAGGTATTTTAAAAAAATCTAATCTTTTTTTTCTCTCTTGAGGATTAAATATGGTGCTTTAAAAGGTGGTAGCACTGAACAATTTTTTCGAGTATGTCAATAAAGAAACAGAATTCATTTATGGCGCGAACACCTTGACATAAAATATTCGTTCATTTTTCAATTACTAAAAAGACAATTGATTAGAGTAAGAATCAGAATTTTCCACCACTACGGAAAACATTGTAGAACACTAAATTTTGTGCAAAATGAAATATTACAATAAGTAAAATCTTATCTATGTATTTATACTAAAAAGTTGATTTCTATAGAAATTGGTACTTGTGAAAACTAATCGCTATTTCAAAAACTAATTTTAAAAATACAATGCTGTTCCTGCTTTTAACCAGTTGTTTTTAAATCGTTGAAAATTGAATGAATATTTTGTATCAAGATTTTTGTGCTATAGTTTTTTTTTCAAATGATATGTACTATTTACTAGAGTTCAAAAATTCCTATATATGAACGTATGTGGTATTATATGTCATCTCGACCTGAATTATTTCCTGAAACAACTGAAGAAGGTATTGAATGGGTAAAAAATAGTAAATATGCATTTTTACTTGAATCAGCAACAAATGAATATAATGTTCAACGTCATTGTGAACTTATGCAAGTTGGTAAGTTTTCAATTGATAAATAAAAATTGTACTATATTCTATGAATTTAATGTATCTTCATGAACATGATTGATGATTACATTTCATAGACGGACTAAACCAATGTAGAATTTTTTTGTTGTTTCATTACTGGATTTTTTCATATAAACATATTAGAAAGACATCAAAGAATTAGTTTAGCATATTGTAACTTGTCTATAGAAAGAAAATTTTGCAAAAAGATTGTTTTTTTATTTAATGATAAATTTAGGAGGTTTAATTGAATCGAAAAGTTATGGAATTGGTACAACACATGGTTCACCATATCGTGATCGTATATCTAATGAAATTTTACAATTACAAGAAAATGGTTTTCTTAATAATTTATATATAAAATGGTGGAAAGAACGTAATTTACCTGAACGATGTGATGATTCCGATGTTGATCACAGGAAAAAATCATTTACAAATGAACTTGACTTAAAAAATATTGGTATAAAAAGAAAAGAATTACTTCAATTGAAAAATATTTATTTTTTCTTTTCTTTTTTTAAAAGGTGGTGTTTTTGTTATGTTAATAATTGGTCTGTCATTTTCATTTATTGTTACATCACTTGAATTTTATTTTAAAGCAAAACGACGTCGATTATTAGATGGAGTAAAGTTTTTTGTTTTCTTTTATGTCTATCGATCTTAAATTATATATATATATATTATACTTTTAGAAATCAACAACTATTAAAGAACGTCTTAAACGTGATCTTCATTTTGCATTATGTACAAATTGTACATCGAGTCGACCAACATTTATACATGAAAAAGACAGTATTGACAAAATAGAAAATAATAATGATGAAATATTTGAAGATTTAAATATAAAATCAAATTGTATTCAAAATAATCCTCAAGAAACAATAACATCAATTGATCATGAACGATTAACAATTGTGCCTCTTAATCATTCACCATGTCATCGTATTACTTAAAAAATAATTTCAATAAATAAAATTCAAAACTTCTATTTTTATACATAGAGAAATTTATTTCATTTATTTGCTTTTCAAACCAAAGAATATATTCTATTGCATTTTCGTCTTTTTTTTTCTCTAAAAAAAACATATTAAACTCTATTTACCAATGTGATCATTGCTAACATATACACATGCACACACATGTCTCATTTTTAATTAGACGATAATGATGTTTGCCTATCAAAGATTGAAATGTGTAGTATCTGAAAAAGAATAGTAATAGTAGCAGTTCCCTGTGTTTTTTTTTTCTTCGTCATAGAAAATGAGAATAATAATGAATGAATGATAAGATACCTATCAACTTGTACGACACACATACAGGTCTTTTCGATTTCGTTCTCTTTCTCTTTGCTTCTACTTCACTCTGTCCTATGTTTTTCAAGAACGTTTTCTAAACAAACATACTAGGACGAAAATGAAAATTGGCATGAAAAAAAAATAGCAAAAACAAACCTACGAGGACGAATATGATAGTTTTTTTGTTTTTACATATTCACAATTTCAATAGTTGATTATCAAACATCATCAATATGGATTGGAGACAATATGCCATGTCATTTTGGGTAAAATTGAATTTTTGTTTTTTTTGTTTTTATTACTATAGAAAACATGAGTTTTAAAGAAAAATGTGTTTTGATGGTGAAGCATGTGGCTGAAAAGAAAATTTCATCACTTACCCTAAATTTATCTCTTACAATAATTGTAAGATTTTATTTCTATTAGACGAGAAAAAAAAAGAATCAGATGTGTAGTCTCTTTGATCTTGATCAAAGAAAAACATTGTACACAAAATGATCTATTATAATAATGCTACGTTAGCTAAATAATATTTGTTTTTTTCTTTTTTTTTTTCACATAGAATGATTATCAATTGATTATCAATATGCGATTAGCTATGTATCAACTGTTAACAAACGTTTCATTAAATTCAACAAATATACTTCAAAATAAAACATCATTTCAAGTTGATAGTCTTATCGATACCGAATCAGTGGTCACGAATTATTATCTAACATTAAAAAAACATCAAAAATCTCTAAAACGTCTTATTCATAAACAACAACGATTGGGAAAAAATCCAACGATTAGTAAGTACTCTTTATCATTGATAACAAAATCCTGAGAATAAAATAACCATCTGGACTCATAGTATAGATATTTTCTTCCTTTTTTTTATATACTGTCACATAAAAATAAGAATGATGACTATGAATGATTTTTTTTTCTTCTTGAATACTATCTCTAGACTGTCAATAATAATCGTCTGTTTAGTTCATATGTTCGTTTCTCTCTATGTATATTTGAACGATGGGGAAAATATGCCAGATGTAATGAAAATATTGATGAATGAAGAAGAGAAAGAACGAGATGATGAAGTTTATTCCATACTCTATTTCATATTAAAGATATCATTTTGTTCTCAGCTAATAGGACAGCATCGACTAGTAGTCTTACCATGCCAACACCATCAGAAAGTCTTTCAATAATCTCATCCGATACATTCAACATGGATAATAATGATTATGAAGAACTTGATCATCGTCCAATAACTCGTGAAATAATGTCAGATTATTTATCTACACGTCGTCATCGTACTGTAACAATATTTCATGCTAAAGTTGCACAAAAATCTTATGGAAATGAAAAACGGTTAGTATTTTAAAATGAAATTTCAAACAAAAAATAAAATTCTTTTCAAGATTTTTTTGTCCACCACCATGTGTTTATCTATCGGGTGAAGGTTGGAATTCTCATTTTGATAAATCTTGTTGTTCATCTTCATTGTATGAACAAGAACATTTATGTGCAATGATTGGTATAAGTGAACCATTATATTCAAATGAACATGAAAATTATCAATCGAATGAAATGCAAAAATTATCAATTGAAAATGGAAATATAAAATATGGTTCAGCTAAAACATTATTTATATCTGATACTGATAAACGTAAATATATTAATTTAAATATAAAAATAATCTATACAGATAATTATCAATCAAATTCATATATTGGATTATTTCAAAGTCAAAAAATCAAAGTTATATCAAAACCATCTAAGAAAAAACAATCTATTAAAAATGCTGAATGTAAATAAATAGAAAAAAAATATATAAAAATAAAAGTTTACTTTTTTTTTTGCAATATATAGCAGTATGTATTCAATCAGGAACAAAAATTGCTTTATTTAATCGTCTTCGGTACGTGAAAATATTTGTTAAAACAAAAAAAAAGTTTGATGAAAAGATTTTATTTTTTTCTTATTAGAAGTCAAAATGTTAGTACAAGATTTTTACATGTTGATGAAAATAAACAATTTCATGCAAGTGCACATGAATGGGGGTCATTTTATATTCATTTAGTTGATAATGATGATTTATCAAATGAATCAAATCAATTTTCAGTTAAAGAAGGTTTTATTCAATATGGTTCAACAGTTAAGCTTGTTTGTTCAATAACAAATCAATCATTACCTTATTTAGTAAATAAAAAGAAAAAAAATATCAGCAAAAAAAAAAATTTTTTTTTTCTCTCTATTAAAAGATTATTCGAAAAGTCGAAAAAAATCGTATATTAATTGATTCCGATGAACCCGTATCACAATTACATAAATGTGCATTTGAATTTAAAAATTATTCATCAAATTTTATTTATTTATCATTAGTTAATGAACGTATTGTTGCAGTAGCAGTAATGATTATTTAATGAAAAGAAGAAGAAGAAGAAAAAAGCGAAGAAAATTTATTTTCTTTATTTTTTAGGGTAAATCATGTATAAATGAACGTTTTCGTGTTGATATTAATGATGCAGCATGTTGGACAATAATATCAACTGATAAAGCGGAATATACATGGTTTGAAGCACGAGGTCCTGTAGTACATCCAATAGCTCCAATACCAATTGCAAAACATATTGTTGTATGCATTAACAAAAAAAAAAACAATTTTTTCTCGTAATTTTAAATAAAAATTTCTTCTAGGTTGCTGGTGGTGGTACAGCAGCAACAATTGAATTAACTGGAGAAAATTTTACATCAACTTTATCAGTATGGTTTGGTGAAACTGAATCACCATGTACAGAATATCGGTATGTTTTATTTCACTTAATTATTATTCATCTTATTTTATATATTTATTTAGATCAAGTGAAACAATTGTTGCTGAAGTTCCACGATTTTCATCTGTAATGCCAAATATGTCATGGATTCAACAATCAATATCAATGCCAATTGTATTTGTGCGTCGTGATGGTGTTATTTACTTAACATCATTAATGTTTACTTATACACCACAATCAGCAACTATGTATGAAACATTGACAACAAATGATATCCTTCCTCCGAAAATAGAAAGTAACTTTTGTGAATAAAGTTTGTTTTTATTCAATTTCTCTTATATAAATAAAGTTTTGTTTAAAATAATAGAACATTAATTTCTCTGTACTATATAAGTTTTAATTGAAAAGACATAGTTTCATCGAATGTGAGATTCACTAGAACACTTAATCACTGATTTCGACAGACAAACAAAAAGTAGTTCTTTCAAAAGATCAAAAGCTTTGTTGAACTTTTAGTCTTAATAAACATTTGTAATAGTAAAATGAATTTATACAGTGTTGTCTATGTTAAATTGAACTGTTGACAGATAGCTTTTCTTATTCTATCACAGAACATTTTGACGTACTAAGAGTAATGATTAATACGATAATATTTTATTGATTCATGTTATTCAACTATATACTCAATATAGAGCTTATAGTGATGTAAAATTTCTTCTCTAAAGCAACTGTAGATTATGTTTCAGGTTACATGCCTGACAAAATGATCATTTATTTCTCTTATAAAGAAAAACATCTACCAAAATATTAACTTATTGAAACTAATGGTTGATGGGAAAATTTCTTGACCTAAGGATTATTTATTATTAATCCTTTTAAATGTATTCTAGACGGACAAGTTAATATATAAACAAAAAATTTTAACATTTAGTTTCAAACTCTAACAATGAAATATTAACAAACGGATCTTATATGAATCGACATTTCGTCGAGAAACTTTTCGCTTATTTAAATATAACTTTCATAGATATTCTTTCTAGCTGATATCACTTTATCTTAATTAATTATTTAATAGTGAATTAAATATTTTTCTTGTTGTTTATTCGAGAAAGAAAAAACAAGCAAGCATATGAGAATACAAATTTACATTATGAATACACTCATGATAAATGATGCACTGTAGCGTGTTTGTAGAAACAAATAGAAAAAAAAAAAAGAAACTGAATACACAAAACAACAACAATAATAAACACAAAATACATATGTATATATTTATATATAACGAGAGAGAAAGAGAGAAAACGAACATATTTTATTTTATTTTATTGTTCAAATAAAAATTTTTCATTTTACATTTATGTACATGTTGTTGTTCCCAAAATGTCTGTTGTTGTTGTTTGAATAACTAAATAAAATAGAAATAGTTTTTATTTTATTGAAAAATAATAAATAATCTTTTATTTTTCTTCTTTTATAAATACATACTTGCTGTTGTTGTAGTTAAAATTGGTTTTTGTTTTCGAAGAAATATTTTACGTTGTTTTTCAATTTTAACTAATGCACTTTTGAGATTAAAAAATACTTTTTGACATTCACGCATACGATCTTTTAAATGAGTTATACGTTCATCACCAGTTAAATTATTATCTAAATAAATAAATATAAAAAAAAAACTAAAGAAGTTCATATGAATATAATAGGTATATTACTAAGATCAAGAAAATTGTAACGACTTGGTCGATGTTTAAACATATCTTTTAATTGTTGACGCATAGTTATATTTGATGGTGAACTTGAACGATAATCTTCATTTTCATATTCTAAATAAAATATAAATTAATTATATTAATTTAACTAAATATATTATTAAATTAACCTTGTTGATTAACAGATCTTTTT